CAGCGGCCATGGCTCACGGGCCCAGCCGCTCCGCGGCATGTGGGATCTTCCAGGACCGGGGCGCGAACCCGCGTCCCCTGCACCGGCAGGCGGACCCTCAACCACTGCGCCACCAGGGAAGCCCTGTAAAGCACTTTTTAAATCGCTTACTTCCTCTACTCGCCCAGACCCTAAATATCGGAGGAAGAAGCACATGTTTAATCCATGGCGTGGACGGCTCTGTGAGAGTCACTCTGAAACCTGACATGCAGCCAGAGGGCCCCTCCAAGGGCAGACCCCCTTCCTAACCTCGGTGGGGTGGGGCTTGTGGGGTGTCTGCCTGGCCTGAACCCTACTTCCCAGAGGGCAGCCCAGAGCCCAGGCCCTCCCACAGAGAGGCAGGGTCCCCACCCCACTGGCCGCTGAGGCCTGGGGTGGCGCCTGACTGTGCCTTGGGGAAAAGCTCTAGGGTCCTGGGCCTTCAGTTGCATTTGGACTCTGCCATGTAATCCTAACACTTGCCAACTAAAACTTGTCAACTGCCATCTGCCTCTACGAAGATTAGGTCACTAGCTCCTGTAGCCGCTGACCTTCAACACACCCTGAAAGGAGGTCAGGGTGGAGATCAGGAATGAGGCACTCTGTGCTCTGGGAAAAACAGGCAGAAACGGCAGATATTTTTAGGAGAAGATTTTGTGAGCCCAATTCTTGCATCTTCTCTTATCTAGAAAAGCACTAAAATCATTAATGGAGCCATCTGCTCCTGGTGACTAGCAGTAACCTTCACGAGACGAGCAGCAGGTCTCTGCCAAAATGTGTGCTTGACCACCTGTACCCGCCTCGCTAAGATCATATATAGTGCTGACCCTTCCCCTACCTCTTCAGAGCAGTTTCTCAGAGCTATCTGAAATGCTGTCTCCTGGGCTATAGTCCTCATTTTGCCCCAAAGAAAACTTAACTCGCTACTCTCACGTTATGCTTTTTTTTGTTTGTTTTTTTAAGTCGACACAATCATGAAAGCCCCTGATTTTCAGTGTTTGAGTGGAGGAGCCAGGAGGCTTCCCCAGGCCAGGTCTGTCGTCTCCTAAGCCACGCCCTGCCCCCCCAGACACTCTCCCTCTGTAAAGCAGAGAGGAAAACAGAAACATCAACAACCTCAGAGTTGTGCAAGAGAGCGTCCAGCAAGTACACGCTCCCTGAACAGTAATCAGCGTCACCACCGCCAGCACCGTTCCTGTGCACCCCCCACCCGTACCCAAGAGAATGCTCACCCACCTCCTCTGCTCCCCAAGGGCCTCTCTCCTCCTTCTCTGCTCCCAGCCCCCGCACTGGCTCCAAGCATGAGGCATCAGGACCCTGGGGCATGTGCACAATCAATTCTTTAATCATTTTGGAGGTGGGCTGACAGCAGCCCTGCAGAGCCCTCGCCAGCTGCTATGCCGCAGTCGGCTCTGGGGCAGCAGCCCCGATGGAGTAAAGAGTGGAAAGCTAGGGTCAGGGCCACAGAGCTCTCCTTGCAGGACCCCCATCCCAGAGCAAGCAGTACTCACAACGCCAGCGGCCGGTGGCCTCCTCCTGCCAAGGAGTCTGAGATGCTCACGCCCTCCAGCCTATGAGTGGCCTTCACGGGACACCTGCGGGGCCAGGTGGGGCTAGACCTGGGCAGACAGACCTGCTGGGGAAGGTGCTGGGCTCCCTGCTCCAGGGTGGGTGGTGGTTTAGGATCCCCGCAGGGGTGGTGGCTGTGGCGATCTGGGGACAAGTGCACAAGAGGAGGCAGCAGGGTCAGGCGTGTGCCTGTTACAGGGATGTCTGGAGGGAGGGCAGAAGCCCAGGAAGTGTGGGAGGCAGCTGGGGTGGTGAGCCTGGGGTCTACCAGCCAACCAGCCTCAGCTCAATGGTTTCTCCATCCCTGGGTCTGTAGTCAGCAATACCTGCAGAAATATTGTGGGATGGGAGTTAACAGGGCAGAGTGTTCCCCCCACCAACCTCACCTTCTGGACCCCTGCCCTGAGGCCACGGTCTGTAAGATGGGCTCAGGGCTTGGTGGAGGGAGACTGGGGGCCTGTCCAGAGCCAGTCTGGAGACTCTGAACTCAGTTGTGACCTCAGGGTCGCTGAGACCCACAGGCTCATTTTGCAGTGGGGGACCCCCAGAGGGTGTTGGAGGGTATGGGACAGCACGCCGGATAACCAACATGGGGCCAAAAGAACCAGAGACCCTGACAACACCTGACCGGCAGGGTCACTGTCTTCATAGTCCCCAAAAGGGCCATCAGGAAGAGGGACCTGCTCGCTGTGGTCTGGAGACCATAAGTGAAGTCAGCCTTTGCTCACTAGCGACAATCCAGGCTCCAGCACGACACCTTGGTCAAGCCCCAGCTCTGCACCCACTAGTGGTGTGACTCTGGGCAGGTTATTTAACCTGGGTGCTGGTGTTCCCATTTCTAAAATGAGGATAATAGTGATATCAACAACCGGGCCCTCCTTTTTCCCCATAGGAGTGGGCTTCCTGCTGGAGTGGGAGTCGAGGGGGGTAGGTAGAGGACACGACCACCCACGTCTGCCTCATGGCCGAGTCCATCGGGCTCTCCCCCTCGGCTACCTCCTCTGTCCAGCCTTTATCAGTAATACAGGCCAGATCTGGTCTCTCCATCTGTCACCTCTTGGTTTTATTTCTCCATTTGTCCACAAGCCAGGCAGGAAAAGAGAATGCTTTTTACTGGGCTCCCTCAGCAAGTCCCACCTTCTGTAAAGCACTTGGCCCAATGCCTGGCCCATGGCAAATGCCCACTAGAAGTTTCAGGTAGCAGGAGTGGAGACAGACGACCCTTAAGAGTCTGTCTGGTAACTGGGATGATGCTCAAGGATGCTTATGACAGCTTGGGGCATAAGAGTTAAAACTGGAGACACCCTAAAGGTCCAGCAGGAGTTGATAAGCTGTGGTCCACCCATCCCACTCCACACCAGGGCTGGGCCCTAATTGGCCTAAGCCAGTCTTGCCATGGTCCCTTCTCTCTAGCCAATGAGGGGCACAGAACCTGGGCCATCTCCTAGCCAACAGGGATGGGTCCAGGAACGCGCCTGTGTCCCAAGTCCGCCTTCAGGATGCCAGGAGACATTTGCTGGGGGATTCAGAGACAAGTTTCCCAAGTCACAAAAGGGAGCAGCCCCAGGAAGACACAGAGTAGCCCCTCTGGAGGTAGGAAGCCAGCAAAGAGAGGAGGAGAGTCACAGGGAGGTGGGGCTGAGGCTGAAGTCCTTGCTCCCACTGGAATCTGGTCACATGAGCCAATGGATGAGCCAATGGATGTCGTGGAAGCTAGTTTGTATTACATTTCTGTTACTTGCAGCGCAAAGCACCCTGCTGGATGAGATATCCTATGTGGCTATTACAAAGAAAGGGGAAGACCTACATATACCAACATAGAAAGATGGCTACAATATGTTACGGCTGAAAAAAATAAATTGCAAAACAGTATATAGAGCTGTGCCATTCGATATGCCAGCCATCAGCCACATGTGGCTACTGAACACTTGAAAAGTACAAAAAACAGGCATGAAAAATATGTCATTAATAATTTTGCATTGATTACATCTTGGAATAATATTTTGGATGTATTGGACTAAATAAGATATATTATTAATATTAGTTTCACCAACTTCAGAATTTAGAATTACACATGTGGCTCACATTCTATTTCTATCAGAGAGCACTGCTATAGAGTATGGCTTCATTTCTATGAAAAAACAAACGTACATATTTTAAAAATTATCTGGAAGAAAATACACCAAAAGTTAGAAGAAGTTATTTCTGGGTAGCGGATTACGAGCAATTTTAATTTTCTTCTTTTTTGCCTAACTGCTTTCCTAGAGTTGCCACAATAACGTATATAAAAATTCTTCAGAATACAGTTAAATATATATGTGCAAACTTGAACATCAGTGGTTATCTGAGGCTGAGGCCCAGGAAGGTTCAGGGGAAAGCTGGCGTGAGTCGACAAAGCCTCAGTGCTGGGACAGGGCTGGGCTGGGGGACACGTCCGGAGGGGGCTGGCCACCAGACTCACCTTGCAGCAGGGGGGTGTCGGGGGCTCGGAGGAGTTGCCAGAACTCACGTTCCCCAGCTTTCTTCCCCATCACAGAGGTCAGGTAGGGGCCTGACAAGGAGGGCTGTGTTCCATACCTACCAAAGGGACAGGCAAAGAGGGAGGAAAGGTGACTTTTGCTCCCCTCAACCCACGGGCAGAAGTAGAACCACCCACACAAGGCAAGTCCTGCCCTCGCTCTCAGGGCAGCGCTAGCCAAACCCTTCCTGGGCCACCTCACCATGGGTCTCTCCTCCACGCCTCCTCTCCAGCCCGAAGGACACCGCCCACTCGGGGGACTGCATCCCCTCTGGGGGCTGACATTGCAGGGGGTGGGAATCAGAAGCTGACAACGGCCCACGAGAGACAGTGAGGCCAGTGTGAGAAAGAAGCAGGAACAGGCAAGACAGAGGCAGAGACACCCAGTAGTGGCTCTGGGTCTCTGCTTCCAGAAGTTTCTGTGGCTCAGGGGCACCCCCATCCTTATGGCTGGGTTGCTTAGTCTTCTCTCCGACTGTACACACCCCATGCTCCCCACTACCAGAGAGGCTTGGATTAGATTCCTGGCTTTTGCAACCAAGAGACTCCTTCTTCATACCACCCCTCCCTGACGCCACTGCCACAAACACAAAGGGATCCCGGATCCTAGTTCTCGGACCAGGATCAAACCCGCGCCCCCTGCAGTGGAAGCCTGGAGTCTGAACCACTGGACCACCAGGGAAGTCCCCAAAGGGATCCTCTTAAAACACTGTGGCCCTGTCCTTCCTGTCTCCTTATCAATGGTGTTGTTCTTAGAGAGGGAGGGTTTTCAGTTTTAAGAAACAGAAATACCCTCAGGGTGACCTGGTCAAAGGGAAGGTTTTAGGGAGCAGCCCATCCCCAGTCCTCCCTTAAGTGCGGGGCCACATGGCTGCCCGGAGAACCACTCTGTACCAGCCTCTCTCCGTTTCTCTCTCTCCTCTTTCTGTCTCTTTCTCTCCGTCTCTGTCTCTTTTCCTCTCTCTCCTTCTAGAATCCAGCTTTCTCTGCTGTGCACTTACATGCCTCAAATGTGCCTCCACACCCCCTCCACCACCAAGAGAATCATTTCTCAGATTGGTATCCCTGACGTTTTCTCAGAGGTCCTGGAGTTCTGAATAAAAATTTTAAGTTCAAATTTTTTTCCATTTTGATGACAGTATCCAAACACGAATACCAGCAGGTTCTAGGTAATCCCAGGGCCTGCCGGACTAAGGCCTCCCAAGGGTGCCCAAGGGTGTGTGGCCCCCAGAGGACTGAGGTCGGCTTGGTAATAAGTGGCATGTTCGGGGCCAGGGAAGAGTCTACAAGCTGCAGCTGCCTGTGCCAACTCCGCCTGACAGCAGCTCAAACCCAAGAAAGTGCTGAGCACGTTGGGCTCACTGGCACTGGTGTGTACACCTGCTCCTCGGCAGACAGTCCCTATTTGAATGTTATTGGTTTCAGTTTTCTTTGTATTTAATTTGCAAAGCTGTTTAGGATTTATAGCCGTCTAAGAGCCAAAGAGAGAAACGACTTTAAATAGTAAACATTAGTACACATCTAAGTCATATTATTACAGAAATAACCTGGGGTCTGGGAGAATTTTCAGCCTTTATAGGGGTTTTTGCATATCTCTGGCCTGAAATTCCCTGCCCCAGATGACCCCAAGGTGCCAGCTGTGGGTCCTCCCTGGCAGCAGGATGCTGTCCTTTGGGGGCTCCAGTTGGGGACAGAAATTGGGACCCTCTCAAACTGAGGCACATTTTTCTAGAAGAGAAGTCTGGGGTCTAGTGGGGTCTGGTGGAAGGTACTCATTCTCTGGGCCAGATCCCCACTGGTGATCCCTCCCATCTTATTTAGGCACAGACACAGCTGGCACAGAGCAGTGCTCTAGAAATGCTTGTCCTCAGATCTGTCAAATCTCAGGGTGAGAAGCAAGTTTAAGGCTGTTGTCCCACCTCCACATTCTACAGAGGGCTTGCCCAGGTAATTAAATAATCACAGGGATTAGACCAAGATCTTTTGATAATAAAAATTCTTATTCTTCTGAAAGCTAACATGTATCGAGCACTTCTAAGTGCGGGACCCTGCACACAAAAAGCATGTACCATGTCCTCTCTGCGCACTAATTCCTGGACTCCTGCATGGTCTCTGGTGGATGGGGGGAGCACAACTGCCACCCTCATGAGCTGCAGGAAAATAACTGGCCTGGTCCCTAGCTGGAGAGCGGCAGAGCTGGGATTCCAGATGTGGAGGGTCTGCCTCGGGAGCCTGCTCTCCTAATCATGATGCCTGTTTCCGCCATAGTGTGGGTGAGTCGGTGGCGGAGAAGGTGGAAGAGAGCCCGGGCCTCTCCCAAGGGAACCCTCTCTCCATCCCTTGCCCCATCCATGTCCCATTTTGGGGATGTGGGGTCGAGTCGGGTGAGGGCTGGGAGATGCGGCGGGGGCAGTCTCACCTGAATCTGCTGTGCTCCTGGGCCTTCTTCAGGACATCTTCCAAAGAGGAGCTGACAGGGACAGAGACGGAGTGTCTGTATGAAGGAAAGATGCTGGAGACCTTCAGCGTGACATGGATGAACTCTGGGACTTGGGTCTGTGAAGGGGTCTCCGTAGCTGGTTCCAACAGGACTGTGCCAGGGAGAGGGGAACGGGCAGCTGATCTGAGGGCAGGGGGCCAGGCCTCAGTCCTCCTTTCTTCCCTGGAAGACACTGTGGCCCATCGAGATCTCCTCCTTCCCCTCGGTCCCATCCGGGTCAACACCACCACCACCTGGCTGCCTTCCCAGCCTCCCCTGTCCCTCAGCTCCCACCACCCTCGCCACCCAAGGTCAGGCCTCACTGGTTTTTCTGCCTCTAGTACCCCCCTCCCACCTCTCTGCCACAAGCACCCCCCACCCAGGGTTCTTTCTGGAACATACATGTTACCTCTGAGGGCCTCCCCTCCTTTTCACCCTCCTGCCTGCCACTCCAGCTCATTCTCTCAGACTCCACTCTTTAGTGAGACCCTTCCCCCCAACTCCAGTCTTGTACACCTCTGAGCCTTTGCCCTTGCTGCCCGCTCCCTGCTCTGCCTTTCCTCCCCTCTTCTCCACTGGCAAATCTCACCCACCCACCCCAGTCCCTCCCCCAGATGAAGCCCTGATTCAAGCAGCTAACTGGGACTCATTATGATGTATCAGAGCTAACAAAAATGTGTCTCTCGCCATTCATTCATTCAAACACTTCTGTACTGGGTATCACACAAGGGGCTGGAGATTCATGGCCTGCTCAGAGCTCACCATTTGATATCTCCCTCCCCACACTGTGAGCTTCTAGCATCTGTGACTGCATTTTAGTTGCCCGTGTGTCCCATGCACACCTGCAAACCCCTGTTGACTCAGCAAATCAAGATGGAGCAAGTTCCCTTCCTGGGACAGGCAGACCTCATTGCAGATTGAAAAGAGCAGGGCTTCTATAAAAGGCCCGGCTACCTCTTGGTGCCTCACAGTCTGGAGAGATGAGATCCACATAGCTCTTCTGGTTCAGGATGGGCAGCAGCTGAGAAATCATGAGAGGGTTCCGGAAGGCCTTGTGCTGTAGGCTGGCCAACAGAGCAGCCTTGGCCTTGAGGCATGCTGTGCCCAGCTCCACCGTGGGCCTAAGGGAGGCCATCAGCAACTGGTGATGGAATGGGGAAGAGGAGGTGGGTCAGCCAGCGGGAGGGGCCAGGTCTTCCAGCACCCCACCAGTCCACCTCCCACCATTCACCAGGGTGGAGCCCAGCCCAGAGTCTCCTTCCCACCTGCAGTGCCAGAGGGGTGCTATAGACATTCCCAAAGTGGCCCTCTGGGGTCTGGGCCTTCAGGATCTTCTCTTGCACTCTCCTGAGGGCCACAGTGCTCCGGTTTCTCTGATTGGGGTTGAGGTTGGATAGCTCCAGACAGGAGAAGGCCAAGCCCGCCATGGCCAGTGTGTCTGCAAGGGACAGAGCCAAGTGGGGTCAGCCCGGGCAGGACCTTGGGGCAATGGGCAGCCACAGGAGGGCTGGAGGTAGGGGGACAACATGGTCAGAGCAGCATTTCAGAAAGTTTCCACCAGCTAGGGGGACCAACAGCCTAGTCTGCCCAGTTTCCAGGATGGCAAACTGGGATGAGTGGTCACCGTATCCCTGTCTGCTGCCTGGGGGTTAGAGGTTGGGGAGAGAGACTGGAGGAGGGAGGGCCAAGAGGACTTTAGCCTACACACTTGTTCCCAAACCTGCCTGCACTTTAGAATCACCAGGGGAGTTTGTCTGACTTTTCTTTTTCTTTTTTTTCTGGCCGTGCTACACAGCTTGTGGGATCTTAGTTCTCCAACCAGGGATCAAACCTGGGCCCTCGGCAGTGAAAGCGCAGAGTCCCAACCACTGGACCGCCAGGGAATTCCTCACCAGGAGATTATTAAAGGAGCAGGTGCCTGGGTCCACCCCCAGGTGGTCTGGTTTATTAGGTCCAGGGAGCTGCTTGGGCCCTGGGGGGTTTTAAGCTCCCCACCCTGGGATGATTTAATGTGTCCACGGTGGGTTTTCTATAAACCTCTGAGGCAGAACAAGCTCTCTGCTGGCAGGGGCCCTGCTGCCTTCTTCTCTCTGGGTACCTACCCTCCCCACCTCCAACCTACTCTATCCTACCCCGCCCTATGCGAGGCACACACACTCACAGAACACAGCCAGGCCTAGAAAAGACCTTGCAATCATGATGACAAGAAAGGGCACTGGAAACCCAAGGTCACACAGTGAGGAAGCAGATCCAGTATCCAGGCCTCAGGCCTCTCAACTCATTTGATGAGAACATCATAGCTGTGTATCCAGAACTTTCTCCATGCTGGGCACCATGCTATGCCCTTTACATGTAAGGCATCTTTTACTGAGATGCTGCTGGGGTGTTATTTTACCAGAGAAGCTGAGCCAGAAAGGCCAGCTGATCTGTCCAGGGTGACCTACAGTAAGTATGCGATGGAGGATGGGGTCAGGAAGCCAGTCCAGCCCCAGTGCTGGCTCGCAGCCCCTGCACCACAACAAACCCTCACCATGGCGCTCCTAGTGGACTCGATAGGAGGGGTCCCAAGGAAAGGTGAGCATGGGACCAGGGGTGGAGGCCTTCATTTGGGGCCGGGGGCTGGAGGAGTGCCAGCCTGGCCTTCAGGGTCTGGCCCACTCACCCACAGGGAAGTGGCCCTGCTGGAGATGCTGTTCGTGTTCCACAGCATACAGGAGCTTGCCCACCACGCTGTCATGGACCCGCTTCTGGTGGACACACAGGGCCAGGATGCCCAGGCCATACTGGTAGTAGCTGGTGTGAGGGTGGCCCTGGTGATTATGCCCTGGGAGGGAGAAAACCACGGGGTGGGGCTGTCATGCTGGGCTTGAGGGGTGACCTCTCTGTCCCCTCCCAGCAACCAGCACCGCCACCACTGGACCCATTGCCTGCACTTCCCGACACCGTCCTTTGGGTCGTGGGATCCATCTTTCCTTCATTCCCTTGATTCATACTTGCTGAAACCCCACTAAGTGTCAGGCGCTGTGCTTGGAGGTATGAACAGTGATGACAGGCCAGGCACAGTGCAGCCAGGGCCTCTGGAAATAACACAACCCACGCTCACGAGATCGTGATTATAAATGAACTGTGGACTGAAGTCCACGTGGCCAAATAACAGAGGTCTTTGAGTAGCTGGGGAGTCGGGGAAGGATTCTCTGAGTCAGGGATGCTGGGGAGAAAGGGCGGGGGAAAGGTAAAGGTGGAGTAGGAGTGAGCTAGAAGGGGAAGGAAACCTTTCAGATAGAGGGAACATATGTCAAGACGCTGGTTTGTGAGCTGAGAGAAGGCCAGGGTGGCCGGAGCCCACGGAGGGGCGGGCAAGTGGGTGAGCCAGAGGGTGGGTGGGCAGGGCCTGGAGAGGAGAAAAGGGCAGACAGGCTGGGCCTGAGGGCTGTGAACACAGCAGGGAGCAGCTGCTGGAGGATTTAAGCAGCACTAACAAGATCAGATTTATATTTAAAGGCTCGCTCTGTGTGTGCCAGATTGAGGTAGGAGGCAGGAAAGTTAGCAGAGAGAGGTAAGGAGTGAGTAGTAGGGAGGCTGTGCAGCTGTCCCAGAGGTGGGGAATCACGCCAGTCTTGGAGGCTGAGCAGCAGGGCTTGCCAACAGAGTGTATGTGGGATGCAGGAAAGGCTTGATCAAGAATGGCTACCAGGACAGGCCCAAGCCTCTAGCAGATATGGAGACAGGCAGAATGGAGGGCAGGAAAGAGGCCTGGGGAGAAAACCCGAAGTTCTGATGTAGACGTTTCACCAGACAATGTTGTCTGATGCGCCCTCCCCCGCCCCGGCAGACCTTGCCTCCTCACCAATGGCCCCCTTCTCGTCCTCCAGGAATCGCTTCAGCTGTGAGACCAGCCTGTCCCCCTTGCGGCCTTCAACAAACTCACAGTTAGCCCGGAGAGCGAGCAGGTAGAGGGCCAGCTGGCCCATGGAGGGCCTGGCCTCAGAGTCACTGTTGTCATTGCTGGAGGCAGACACAGGACAACACCAGTTAACAACACTTCAGTGAGAAAGTGCCACCCTGGTAAGCCTGGCTTGGGGTGCCCCACCACCACCACTACGAAGCAGAAAAAAAAATCTTAGCAGTTGGAACGTTTCCAAGACCTGCCAAAAGCAGATGTAGTCAGTTATGTAAGTTGTGTATGTCACACTTATTTCATAAAGATGAGAAATTAAACTCAAGGCCAAACTCTGAGGGCTCCTGCATCCAAATGACCTGTTTGCCCCACCATTTTGGTCACACTTCACCCATACACTCTCCCCTTTCTTTCCTCTCCCTGCACTGCATCCACTTCTCAAGAGGGAGTCCAAGCAGGAGATGCTCCATGGTGGTCCTGACCCTTCACCTCTCATTCAGACTCCTGTGCTGGACCTCAGAACAGGCTTCCTCTTAATGCCCCCTGGAAAGGGAGCACGGACAGTCCAATACTGCTGCTGGGCTCAGTATGAAAGAGTG